AAGAACAGGTAGCTGTTCTTCTGAGGTTGTTTCTCTCTTTTGTCTCTTTGTTCCACTAGCACTTACTTCAGATGCACTGGGCCTCTGTCTCACTAAAAATCTATCCAATGATGTTTGTTTTTGCCTGCACTTTCACACTTGTGTGACGTGAGACAGTGTGTTGCCATTAAACAAGTTTATAGCATGCTTTGCTACTTCTTTGTCAGGGTGATGATTCTCAATAAAACTTTGAACTTTTCCCACTTCCCAAGTGTTTTTTTGATTACTGAAGTAGGAATATCCTCTCTCCCCTTTGCCTCTGAAGAGGATCCTTCAGCTGTCGTCTCCTGCTGGTTACTCTGGTGGTTTTGAAGTTCCTTGGGGGTCAGTTCAGTACTGTGGGCTTCCACCAAATCCTCCCCATCATCATCATCCACCTTCAAGCCTGTGGACTTGTCCAGAGACACGATATTGTCCACAACACACAAGGCCCACAACATGTCTTCCAGCAACAGACTCAGGCTGCAGTTCTCCCAGGCTCATTGCATGGTCCTGGAAGCCACTTCACCCCTTGCTTTGACAATAAGCCTCAAGCAAGTGAGGATATTAAACTGTTCCTTCTGTAACTCCCTGAAGGTTACAGTAGTCTCAGAGGTCACCTCAAAACCCCTCAGAAAGTGCCTTGTGTAGGATTTCTAGTTAGAGGTGACCTGACAGTCCATGGCTGGCTGACAGGAGTTGTGTAAGGTGGTGGCAAGAACCTAGCAGTGATGAAGCTCTACTCCTTCACCAATTTGGCCTCCAAGCCTAGAGACGGGCAGGAGCACTGTGCATTACAAGAAGTGCTCTGAGTGGCAACTGCTTTTCCCAGATGCATTACTTCGTATGTGGGAAAAATGCTTCATGAATCCACTCAATAAAAATCTGCTGGGTTAACTAAGCCGTGCTATTAGCCCCCCATGTCACATTCAACCTGCTTTTCATGAAGTTATTTTTCTTGAAAACTTGCAGCTTTCAGAATACTAGGTGAGCAGGGGCTCCAATTTCAAGGCCCCACTCACATTCCCACTCAATGACATCAGCCTGTCCTTCCTAACTTGTGTTCTGGCAATGACTTCTCCTCCTGTGTGCTGTAGCTAGTCTGATGTGACATTTTCTTCCACAAGAGTCCTGTCTGATCACAGTCAAACACTTGTTGGGTAACAGATCTATCAGCCTGCATGTATTCTTGAAATTATATGATGAAATTATCAGCAGCTACTTTGCTAGAAATGGTACCCACCCTTCCCATGCCTCGCTACACTTAGAATGCAGTTCTTTTCTTAAATTTCTCAAATCACCCCCAAGTAGACTCAAACAAAGCACTTCAGCACTCGTCCCAGGGGTGTCTTTCATGAGGCCAGCAGGCAGCATCTTCACTTTTTCACGTATTGTAGACATTGAAATGCTATCACTAGCTTCTTTTCATTTATCCAAATCAACAACAATTTTCCCACCTCTTCAACTGTCTGTGATCATTGTTTCGTGAGCATTCTCCCACCCTTAGCAACATTAGCACTGCTGATGGCCTCTTGATGTTTGAAAATTGTGCTAATTGTTGATTTTGCCTTGCCAAACTCAGTGGGCAGACCAAACACACGAGTACCTCTACCATATTTTGCAATTACTTTTTAAGTTCTATGCTGCTCCCCCTCACAAGTCCCCCTTTCACTTTTCTGCTATCCCTAAGCTGCTTAGAACCTACGGTGACTTACTGTAAGTGTTTTAACAATAAGCAGTAACAAAGGCAAAAAAACCACAAATATTTACAACACAATCTGCTGAGATGTTAACAACACAAGGCATAGTGGTAAACCAACTCATACTCACACACTGTCTCCTTTGATTGTTGCCTGAGTGGCATGTGACTACTCATACAGGCATCAGCATGAAAGGGTAGGTGTGTCAAGGAGTGTCAAGGAGTTAAACAAAACTTGGTCACAAACTAACTTGGATGAGAAGGGAGACATTTGAGAACTGAGGTCTGACCATATATGCTTCCCCTACACCATTTGGCTGACTCTATTTTTTTCTATGTAAGATTAAAGTGCCCTCTTTCAGGCTTGAAGGAGTGGCTTCATGTAGAGGAACCATTGTCCTACCTTGCTGTAGCCCTTGCTGGTCTCTCGAAACTTTGTCCAAGCAGCCTATTTTATTTTCAATAGCTCCCAGTTACTGCAGCTGAGCCGAGACCTCAGTGGCCCAAAGAGTAGAGAGGGAGAATCTCAGCCAGCAGCTAGAAGATGCCAGAAACTCAGCAACTTTTAAAGTATGCAAGTACATACACAGCCCTGTGGGAATGCAGGTGTAATCATGCACTGAGATTACCCCAAGACCAGGTGATCTGAAGGTGTTCCCTGGGTGACAGTCACTAAAATCAGGACTCCAGACAAGAAGTGTGAGTATAAGCTCCTTTCTAGGAGATACTGGGAGCTGTAGAGAGGCAGTACGAGAGTGCGAAGACTGCATGCACAGCCTTCACTCCCTGGGAGAACACAGCTCTATGAGCGTGCCTTACCAGAAGCCTACCCCTCAGACCAAAGCTCCTACACAAGGAAGTAGGCACCTTTCTCAGAAAGACAGGGTTGTATTACACTCCGATGTCTGTGCAGTATCCTGGGCATCACATTCTGCCAAGAGCTGTGTCCATGGTTGAGTCTCATGGGAACAAGAAATGCAAGTGAGCCAGGGATCAGGACATATCCCCAGGGCAGCAGCTACAAAAACCAGAGCACCAGACATGCTTAAAAGTTCACCTCCCAGAGATACTAGCACATTGGAGCATGACACGGGTAGAGAACAAAGATGGCCCCTGCTGAGGAAAAATAAATAAATAAAGAGATGTCTCCCACTGGCTTTAGCAAGACACAGGGAAAAGCACAACCACCAGCTGAAGGATAGAAATGAAAACAGCAAAAGAAAAAATGAATAAACAGACTCTAGAGTTAAAAAAAAATAAAAGCAACAGACAACTGTAGCAAGGTAGGAAAGTGTGAAAATGGTACTCACCAATACCTGCATTCATGAAGAGTATCCCAACAGGTCCCTGACCCTCAGGCCCATGATCTTTAGATTAGCAAATGAATCTCTTCCATATAACAGTGTGAACACTTTTGAAATGGTTGCTTCTCCCTGGGGCTAGAGAGTCTGGGCATGAACCCTGCAAGAAGTGTTTCTCAGTTCACTACAGCCTTTTGGATCTACCGGGTTCTCACCATATTGGTTTTTCAAAGTCAGATGATTTGGGCACTTTTGGATATATAAGATGCTCTCTAATGGAAGAGCCAAGTGATGAAAATCAAATGAGCAGTGGTACAAAGAGAAGACTTAAACAAAAGAAAAGGAAAATATAAATGGAGAAAGGAGTATGAATTAGGTAGAAACAGTAGCGGAACAGAAGGTGACGTAGTTGACTTGGTGATGGGATCGATGCAGCCAGCCATGAAAGGTGTTTATGTTAAAAAGCTGCCGTGCCTAATGCAGGGTACAAACACTTTGCCTCTAAAGGAGAAGCTCTAAGTTTGTGAATTCTCTCTCAAAGTGGGTCACTGCTCTGGGGTGTGGTGTACACACCAGTCTCTCTCACCTCCACGTAGCCCTCTTCTTGTTTCTTTGACTGGTATACTTCCAGGTGGTCTCACTGTTACAAACCCTAACTCTATTTTTTAGGGACTGCATTTAAAAACATGTTTTAAAACCAAAATATGTGTAGCTTTTATTATTCACAAGAACAGCTGCCCTCCACAGGGATTAAACTAAATCAAAGAGAGGGTACTACATTAGGCAAGTATCTAATGCAGCACTTCCTGAAACAAATGCTTACCATATTCTCCTTCCTCCCCTGCCGCCCCCACCAAATTTTAAATAAATAAATAATACACCACTTGATTCCTGGACATCACCTTGGCACTTGTTACAATGTAGTAGCTTAGCCCACTTCATATCTAATGTACAGTGTTTTTCACACATACTGAATCAGAACCACAACTTGACAAGATGCCCAAGTGACCTGCATAAGTCTGACACTACCCTAGACTACTGTGCAAGTCAATATAGTCTTTCTTTTCTAGTCCTTTCACGGCTGGCTGCATCTGTCCCATCACCAAGTCAACTACTTCACCTTCTATTCTGCTACTGTTTTCTACCTAATTTATGGTTCTTTGTCCACCCATCTTTCTCTTTTATTTTTGTGTTTCAGTCTTCTTTTTATTCCACTGTTCATTTGATTTTCACGATGTGTCTATTCCACTAGAGCAGTAATTTCCAACCTATTTCAGCTCATGGCACAAATAAACTAATTATTAAACTTCTACACCAAAGAATGTACTATATTTATACCTATCTGACCAAAAAACGAGTACCATTTTTACTCATTCCCACCAGATGACTATTGTTGTTGTGTTGACTATTGTCATGTATTTTATTTCACAATCTAAGGGAAAAAGTGATTACTGCCCCTGACTAAATAGTCGAGTGTTGCCTGTTTTTAAAATTCTTGCAGTATACTGGTTGAAATAATTTTTCTAACTAATGCCACCCCAATAAATTTAATAAGAAATGAAAAATACCTCTGTACAGGACTATTTCACAGAACATACAATCTCAATCAACATGGTTACAGCTCCTGCCCCTAGTTATTCTTTCATGTCTAGAATTTCTGAATTTAAACACAGAAATCACTCACTCCCAAAAGAGAGGTACGTAAACATACAAATGAACATGATGACCTAGAAATGCTGAGGCTAAGTGTTAGGATATCTACTCCACACCTCAGAAAGCATAATAATGTTCGGCACATCGTAAAACAAGGCCATACAACCAACCTAACTTCCAAGAAACTAGATTATTCCCTTCAATTATGAAGTAAATATAATTTACATATAAAGCTCTCTTAAAATGATATATGAAAAGTTTATCAAAGCACACACACACACACACACACACACACTATTTTATATGGGTCCTGCTCTCTTAATACTCACGAGATCAGCGTATTTCTTACAGAGAGCTGCCAGCTTCTCCTCTGGTGTTGAAAGAGTATTTAAGGCTTGCATCAATAATAATACTTCTTTCCCTAATGATTAGTCATATAAAAGAAGAAAAGAACCAGGAGATAAAATTATTTCAATCTGTTAGATATAGAGATTCATCAGCTAAATTAGAGAAACCAATTTCAAATTAGGATTTATTAGCTTCCCACACCCAAACTTCTTCATGTACCAACTAACACTGGTAGATATTGGCCAACTGGCACTTGAACTGTAAAAACACTGACTGAAAGCTTAAAAATACTTGCCTAATCAATGATTCCAAGTTAAGATGTTTTACAAAGGGTGGGAATGTTTTTAAGAACTTCCTCCTATCAGAGACAACTACACAAGGAAATTCAGAAAGCTATTCAGAAAGCTACACAGTCTGCCTGTATCTCAAATGCACATAGTCTCATGTGAAACAAAAATTTTCCTGTGACCAATTTGAGTTCTAATTCTTTTCTGATGATTTCCTGGGCATAATCTGGATATTAACCGACTATAGCACCAAAAGGGGGAAGACGATGAGCCGTTCCATCGTGGGAAGAGTTTTAAAAAGAGCACGTCAAAAGCTGTGGTGGGGAGGAGATGGCTGAAATACATGGGAAAAAATAATGATTCGAGGTAAATAATAAAATTTTATTTCTTGCCCTGGAGGGTAGGTACATACTTATTTGCTAAAATGCTCACTCTTGTATGTGAATATATGAATATATATTCACATATATTCATATGTGAATATATATTCTCCTTCTTCTTTTTTTAATCTGAAGAAAACTTTAACATTTTGTACACCTGACAGTCTGCTGGGTAGGGGAAGGGAGGAATAGGCTGACTTCCAATTGAACACTTTCCTATGCACGGAAAATTTTCGTACTAAAACATTTTATTAAATCCAATGCCAAATAAAAAGAGGAATATAACTACTTACTGCATAAGAAATGAAGGTAAATTGCAATTTTCTTAACGTTATAAACTCTAGCCACTTTAAACAATTTTTAACCTGAAAGTATATTTTATACACAGTGTTGGGATAGTATTTCTGAAGATATCTGTCTTGCTTAGAAGAGGTTATAAACACTTTCCATCTTCTTACAAGCTTTAAAGTGCGTAAGGGTAACAGATTAAGGAAAGAAGGTCATAGTTATAGTCATATGCAGAAATCAGCCAAATCAGACAAGGTAACTGTTACACAAAATTGAAATAAAATACTGAAGGGCAACCGGTGAGTCAAAAGTACGAGGGAGGAAAACTATAACTTGAAATCCACTCTTATTAGCTCGCTTTGCAAACAGGGGACCGCATATGTGATTTCTAAATTTTAGTGAATATCGTTTAAGGAAATGGAGCAAATATACAGTGTTAACTGTAAGTATTGGTTAGACTACTTTAAAAGATCAAACAACAAGGCAAATAGAATACCACCTCTGCAAAACTGGCCACACATGTTTTCAGAAAAAAACAATTCTTGATAATTTAGAGAGAAATAACTAAGCTTTACTAAGCTTCCTACTCTGCGTTTTCACCTCGCGCATAGACAGGCACTTGCAGCAGACAGGCACACTGACCTGACCAACAAGAAAGTAAGTGTAGTAGCTGAACTACATCTACTTCAAGCCCGGCCACATCCCATAATCACATGTGCTGCCAAAAACATAAGTATGTGAGCTGTGTGTGAAAATATCCAGCCACTGAGCAGATATAATTACCTAAGGTTTTTCCTTTGTTCCTGTTGCACTCTGAATCCTGTGGACTATCAGAGTGATCTGTCCCAGCGTCTAGCCGAGGAGGTTTCTCTCTTGACTCCTGTGTGCAAAACAGTGGGTTCATCAAATTACTGTTTTTTATTATAAAGTCACTGCCTTCATCCTTGTCCAGTGAATATTTGTTACTTGTGCCACCACAATTTGAGTCTTGATGCTGACGAATACTGTTTGATTGGCAGTTATGTAACATAACTGCTTTTACTCCTTGTCTGCAAATTCTAGATTCTTCCATTGTGCCAGTTACAACCTAGAGGAAAAAACAGGAAGAAAGGGGTTAAATCAAATGTAATCAAGGGAGGAAAACTATGCAGTAGATAAAAATACAGTTTTCTGCATTACTTCCTTCATAGTTAAATGTAGTTTTTACTTTTTGTACATGGTACAATCAACAGACATATATCATCATTTGGCAAGGTTTCACAGTTTTTTTAAAAAATAGAAGAACAATGCTTCTTTGAATCACTCAAGGAAAACGCAGAGGAGGCACTACCATAATGGTGGATTAGAAACTCCAAGGCACCATAGCTTCAACAACAAAGTGCTGGCAGGATCTATCAGAATCAACTTCTGAAAACTCTGAAATCTTCCAAACACTTATAGCACAAAATAACAGCCCAATACAAGTGAATAAAATAGCAGTTGCTTTGCAGTAGGAGAGCACCATGCAATTTCCAGCCTCCCACTTATAATTCCACACCCCAGGCCAAGAGCACCCTAGGGACCGCTACCTACAGTATTTATCAGTGCAGGCTAACGGCACCAGAAGGAACAACAGAGACAATATTTTGAAAAGCTTCTGGTCCCATGCAACCTTTCTGAGAGGTCCCTGAGAAACCTGTACATGGGTGTGCCTTTTCTTGCCCCTGGGGGAACTGTCCCAGGAAGCTTTTAGATAAAAACATTAAAGACACAATTAGTGATTTCAGCAACCTAGAGTGAAGGGCAGCAATCGAGAAAAAAGAGAAAAAAAAAAAACCACATACAGTAGAGAGAAAAACCTGAGAAGAGAGACACTGGGAAAGAAGATGAGCACAGGAATTTTAAAAGTTACCTAAGCTCTGGCTAGTGTGGTTCTGTGGATTGAGTGACAGCCTGTGAACCAAAGGGTCTCCAATTTGATTCCCAGTCAGGGCACACGCCTGGGTTGCAGGCCAGGTCCCCAGCACGGGGGTGCAGGAGACGCAACAACACACTGATGTTTTTCTCCCTCTCTTTCTCCTTCTCTTCCCCTCTCTCTAAAAAAAATAAATTAAGTAAATCTTTAAAAGAAGAAGTATTAAAAAAATAAAGTTACCACATAAGACTAATCAGTCTTGCCTTCAAGGTGAAATGAAGGCTAAGCCATAGGCACAAAGAGCCTGGCTAAGCTTTCAAAACTACTCAAAAGCAAAAGAGAAAAGTAACCATGTCTTGCTTATTAACATTTGGACCAACTCTCCCTGTCTTCGGGTCCACTAATTTCTCCCTGGGTACCCTGTGTATACTCTGACTTTAGGTTCCCTTAAGGAGAAAGATGTTAGGCTTCGGCCAAGGTTTATCATGCCACAAAGGAACCAAAGGCCAAAACACCCATCCTATATGCTCTAGGAGAAGAGAAAATCCAACCTTGTATGGTTCTATTGGAAACAGGTACCCAAGTAACTGTGCCATTTGGTTGTGAGGGCAAGAAATTACTGAATTCAACTGATGGGCTTTGGGCAGGGTTCACAGTAAACTAATGAAGCTAGACCTATCTGCTCATGGCTGAATAAATGAACTTTTATTGCTATTCTTATACTTGAATATATAGTACAAATTACTACACATACACATAGAAACACTGCATATGTAGTGTAGTGCATTCACTTAAGTGCCAGTGGGAGTTCTTCCCTTCTAAAAAGCCATAAATAGAGTCCCTTTGGGGCCCATAAGCCCTGATGAGTCCATTTTGTTCCAAGTCTCTGTGGTAAAGAGAAGCAGCCTTCCACACATACCAGGTATATCCCTTTTGTATCAGCTTGCCCCTGCACTCTTGCTAACACCGAACACTTAAATCCATAAAGCCTTCCTGACTCTCAAGGCTCATATTCTTTTATTGGAGTGGATTGACTCAGTCCGTAAAATTAATCACACAGAAAAGGCCCAACAAGCTTCATTGGTCATATCAAAATGGCATGGTCAAGAATTTACCTATGTAGACCAAAGAGCATCTCAACTTTATACAAAAAAAAAAAAAATGTGTCCATTACTTCAGCCTGTGTTGAATATATGTTGCCTGTGAAGTCTCTGGCCCAGTGAGACTAACAGAGGCTCTTCAAATGGCTGGGTCTGGCTCACTACTGATTCAGTTAAGCTGAAACCCAGTAGGATCCTGTTGGCTCCTGTTTTGCCTCAGCACCACTTATGAAGAACCTCGGATGGGCATGGGTGTATAGAACACATTAACTCTCAATGCTCTTGCTACCTCTGCATGTAGACTTGTGACATACATGAAAAGGTGACCCAGTTGTCTCCGCATTGGGAAGGAAGCAGCACACAGGACACTGACTCCACCTTATCCTAAAGGCCTGAGCAACTACAAACTTTAAAACCCGCTCAAGGCTATTACTCATCAGGAGTACCCGCTTGCTGACCCAGGTTATAGAGTTGCTTCTCTACTCCAATCAGCTGACTCTGGCCACACCATTGTAGACTTTGAACCAATCTGTCTTGCGATCACTTTCCTAGATCATCTGCAGTCTGAAAATGACACTTTTTTTTTTTCTCTTCACAAAAACCTCTAAAAATGAAGTGACAGTCAACGTACTCAGGGATTGCCCACACTTCCTATCATTCACAGGCATCTAGTGTTATTACACATTAAGGGTGCCAAAAAAAAATGGAGATGAAAAGATTCCTAATATTATTTCCTTCCCTCAGCTTCTTATCCACACAGCCTGGGAAGGGAAGCTGGGCTGTGGATTGCAGCTGTTTACCAAAGGAGATCATTCCCCTCCCCCGCATAATGATCAGGACGTGTTACGAAGCCGATTTCAGAAAAAAGAAGTCCAAGAAACGTAATCACTTTGAGGCCGCTGACCCTTTCTTTATCCCAACAGCAAAACCAAGACAGCCTAGGGGGTATACTCTCCCAACTACAAAACGTGCCCTGAAACATTCCAACTCTGGTTGTCTCTCAGGAGAGTGACATGGTCCTAGATCCCTGGAGGGTCCATGCCCTGGCCCTCTGGTGCTGAAGCCTGACCACTGAGTGCAGAATGACCACATGAAAAACTCAAGGAGACAGCCACAGACAATAGATCCCTGGAAGTCTCAAACAGGATGTCTAAAGTCACACAGAGTCACCATCTGACATCACAAGAGATGGATCCAGAAAGGAAAAAAAATGGTGGTAAATACTACAGGCTACAGAGACAAAGGCCACCGTGCTCATCTCCGTGACTTGTGATAGTTTCTTTTCCACTTTATTGATTATGCCATTACAGTTGTTCTATTCCCCCCTTCATTCCCCTCCACCCTGCACCTTCCCATCCCCACGATTACCCCCTTTTAGTTTATGACCACGTGTCTCAAGTTCTTTAGATTCTGTATTTCCCATACTATTCTTGCCCCCTATCTATTTTCTACCTACCGTCTATGCTACTTATTTTCTGTACCTTCTCCCCCCTTCTCCTCCCACTCCCCTATTGCTAACCCTCCATGAGATCTTTATTTCTATGTTTCCGCTCCTGATTTAGCTGTCCTCTTAGTTTGCTTTTGGTTTAGGTATGCTTGTTAATAACTGTGAGTTTGCTGTCCTTTCACTGTTCATATTTTTTATCTTCCTTTTCTTAGACAAGTCCCTTTAACGTTTCATATAATAAGGGCTTGGTGATGATGAACTCCTTGAATTTGATCTTATCTGAGAAGCACTTTTATCTGTCCTTCCATTCTAAATGAAAGTTTTGCCGGATAGAGCAATCTTGGTTTAAGTCTTTGGATTTCATGACTTGGAATACCTCTTTTCAGCCCCTTCTTGCCTGTAGGGTCTCTTTTGAGAAATCTGCTGACAGTCTGATGGGAACTCCTTTGTAGGTGACTGTCCCCTTATCTCTTGCTGCTTCTAGGATTCTCTCCTTCATTGTAATCCTGGCTAATGTAATTATGATGTGCCTTGGTGTGTTTCTTCTTGGGTCCAACTTCTTTGGGACTCTCTGAGCTTCCTGGATTTCCTGGAAATCTATTTTCTTTGCCAGATTGGGAATATTCTCCTTTATTATTTGTTCAAATAAGTTTTCCACTGGTGGCTGTGCCTTTCCCCCTTCTGGTACCCCTATAATTTGGATGTTGGAGCATTTAAAGATGTCCTGGAGGTTCCTAAGTCTCTTCTCATTTTTTTCTGAATTCTTGCTTCTTCATATTTTCCTGTTTGGCCATTATTTTCTTCCTTCTGGTTCACTCCCTTGATTTGAGTCCGTTTCCTTTCCATCACTATTGGTTTCCTGTGCATTTCCCTTCATTTCAATTAGTTTAGCCTTCATATGTTCCTCTAATTTGTGACTAAAATCAGCTAGTTCTGTGAGCATCCTGATCACCAGTGTTTTGAACTGTGCATCTGAAAGTTTGGCTATTTCTTCATTGCTTAGACTTATGGGCTTTGGGGCTTTGAGATCTTCTTGAGCCATTTTTGGTCTGTTTGAGCTCGTTAATTATGAGGAGCAGAGCCTTAGGTGTTTACCAGGGTGGGGCTGCCGCCCAGGTTGCTGGGTTGTGATGCTGTATGTGGGGGTGGGGTCAGAGCGGGGAAATAGCAGCCCCCTCTGCTGCCTCTCACCGCTGGGGCCCACTCCCTCGCTGGTCTATCTGCGCAGGAATGCGCAACCCCAGTCAACCTGCCGCCCTGCACCCTCGCTGGGTATGCTGGTCGCTCACTGGGTCGGCCCTTTGCAACCCCACGCCTGGGTTTCGCACACCTGAGTCCGTCTGACCGAGTTTTCCTGTGCAACTCCACTCCGCCAGCTGCTGGCTTCGCCCCTCTTACCGGTCAGGCTGAAGAATTTGTTGTTATCAGACTTCTGAAAAGTTCAATTTTCTGTGTTCTGGCTGTGTTTTGTGTTGCTAATATTTTGTTGTCTCTAAACTTGGTTGTGGGAGAAAGCACGGTGTCTCCACCTATGCCTCCATCTTGGTAGAAGTCCTCCCACATAGTGTTTTTTAACTTCATTTCTTGTCCAGCAAGTCTGTAGGCATTAAGTCACTGGACTGTGTATACTACAGTGTATTTCAATTCACGTATTTTGCCCCTCCCAACTCTTACCCCATTTTACCTTCCTCTTTTCCCTGCATTATTTTCATTTCAAGTTTTGTCTTCTCTCTTGCTACACCTTGTCTCCATGCCTCACTCTTACTATTTCTTTTCCACCCAGACACACAAAATCAATTTTCTTGTCAGTGGTCATCCCGCATCCCCTCTCCCCACTCTTAAAATGCCCACATTCTCTCTCCACCTTTAGCAATCTTTGCTAGTTGGTTGTGGGTAGGATAGTTGTCATTGCATTGTTTTGGTTTTTTTTTCAATTTCTATCTCTAGAGCTGCCCTAATGCTCTACTTCAGACACCAAATTTTGTTGGTCCCCTCTCCTCCTCTTTTTTTCATCTCAATTTTTTCTTTTTAATTAATTTTATTTAGTTATTTTTCAAGTACAGTTTTTTTTGTCTATTTTTCCCAGCCTCCCCCTGCAAATTTTTTAATTGTGCTGTCTTAGCCTGCTTTTTATCTTTCTTCTATTTCTCTTTCACCCTGCCAATTTATCTTTCTTTATTCTCCTTTCCCCTTCTTTTTTCTCTTTCCTTACATCCCAAATTTTAATGTTTCCCTGTCTTAGCCTGGTTTTTGTCCCTCACTTACCATTTCCTTCCTCCCATCATTTCAGATTCACTTTCCATGCCGCTAAACATCTCTTAGACTTTTCTTTGTTTCTTTTTCCCCTCTTATTCCCATGCCACCTATATCAATTTTAGCTCGTTTGCTGTTGATAGTACTGTGGTGTGTAACATACCCCAATGCGAGCAAAATGTCAGAAGCCTTCAGGAGTTTAAGATGGAACTTTATTGGCCAAAGTTTCAGAGTTTTACCTGCACAGGGGCGAACTCTCGGGGTGTCCGAGGACACAGTGCCAAAATGGCTGCAGATGAGAGTCACGCCTGGCGCTTACAGCCTGGGGTTTTTATTGGGGTGAG